TCTCTCTCTCTCTCTTGCGCGCGCGCGCGCGAACCTCTTGCAGGATTCTTACGATTGCCGGTGAGAACCTGGCCGCCTCGCAGTATATCTGCCGCTCTTCCTCCTCTGCTCCGGCTTCTGCGTCCGCCGATTTTAACGCGCGCGTACCAAAGGCGACAAATCTTCTCCCTGCCCTCTTCGGAGAAAGTCGCACCGACGCGGAAAATTCGAAACTCGAAGAAAATGTGACACTCCGTCACGCTGGCAGAATTCTGCGATCGATCGAGAGCCGCTGCAATTTTGTAACTGCACGGCCGAGAAAAAGAGTCGGTAGTACGGGAAATGGGAAGCGATTTGAAAATTTCTTTCCACCGGGTATCGATCCGCGGGAACGATTGACAAATTCCGGCGGGATAAATCGCGGAACAGCGTGTCGATCGATCATCGCGGCCGCGATTAAAATATCAACCGGTGTAAGCCCCTCTGGCTTACAATACGCGCGCGTGCGCGCGTATTAGCGAAACCGTGGGCTCGAAACGCCGCCGGGCATGATGAGAGGGAGAGAGAGAGAAGGGGACAACATGTATGTGTGTATCGAGCAAGCCGGGCCATGCCCAGCGCGCGCGTATTATCGGCGAGTTTTATCGGCGATCGGCCTGGGTCCTCTGGCTCGCTCTGTCGGACGCTTCGTTCCCAGCCACACACGCACGCGGCTGTGCTGCTGCGTATGGATCATCCTGATCATCACGGTGCGTTATAACGCCAGGCAGTTGGAAGCGTCAGACGGAACAGCGTAACCGGGACACGCATTAACGCCACTCTCTCGATGCCATAATGCGCGGCGGGTCACGTTTTTCCTACCGATACAATGCCCTGCCTTTCGGCAATATGTTCGGGGGCCATCGAAACGAGGCGATGGATGGATGGATGGATGGATGGATGGATGGATAGATGAATGGATAGACGGATGGATGGATTGGATGGATGGATGCGGACGTACGGATAGGGGGACGTTGCACACGCAAAAGGGGGGTTTGTTTAGGCTCCGCCGCGCGAAAGCCACTCAACCCGCTAATCTATTTAGCCGTGCTGTTTGATATGGAATTAATGAGCACTCCCTGGTATTATGTACGGGCCTGATTTTCGGTTTACCTCGCCTCGAGAATGGAAAGAGGGGAACGAGAACGCACTAGGTCCGAGAGACCTTTGGA